CGCAACCAACGCGATTAGGGGTTGTCAATCCCTTCACGGTCACTTACGAGAATGAGATCTGATAGAGATGATAAATAATATATTTTGTATTTTTGATAGATAGATGCAAAGTAAAAAGTGAAAAGCAAAGCAAGTAAATAAAGCGATAGAGATTGATATGATGAGAATAGACCCGGGGGCCATAGATTTCACTAGTGGCTTCTCCCAAGAGCATAGATATTCTACGGTGGGTGAACAAATTACTATTGAGCAATTGACAGAATTGAGCATAGTTATGAGTATATCTAGGTTATGATCATGTATATAGGCATCACGTCCGAGACAAGTAGATCGAAACGATTCTGCATCTACTACTATTACTCCACTCATCGACCGCTATCCAGCATGCATCTAGAGTATTAAGTTAAAAATAGAGTAACGCCTTAAGCAAGATGACATGATGTAGAGGGATAAATTCATGCAATATGATAAAAACCCCATCTTGTTATCCTCGATGGCAACAATACAATACGTGCCTTGCAACCCTTTCTGTCACTGGGTAAGGACATCGCAAGATTGAACCCAAAGCTAAGCACTTCTCCCATTGCAAGAATTACCAATCTAGTTGGCCAAACCAAAAAGGATAATTCGAAGAGACTTGCAAAGATAACTCAATCATACATAAAAGAATTCAGAGAAGATTCAAATATTTTCCATAGATAATACTGGATCATAAACCCACAATTCATCGCTCTCAACAAACACACTGCAAAAAGAAGATTACATCGAATAGATCTCCACGAGAGAGGGGGAGAACATTGTATTGAGATCCAAAAAGAGAGAAGAAGCCATCTAGCTACTAGCTATGGACCCGAAGGTCTGAAGTAAACTACTCACACTTCATCGGAGGGGCTATGGTGTTGATGTAGAAGCCCTCCGTGGTGGATGCCCCCTCCGACGGAGCTCCGGAACAGGCCCCAAGATGGGATCTCGTGGATACAGAAGGTTGCGGCGGTGGAATTAGGTTTTTGGCTCCTCTGGTGATCGTTTGGGGGTACGTAGGTATATATAGGAGGAAGGAGTACGTCGGTGGAGCAATAGGGGGGCCACGAGGTAGGGGGGGCCTCCACCCTCGTGACCGCCTCTGGCACTTCTTGGAGTAGGGTCCAAGTCTCCTGGATCACGTTCGGTGAGAAAATCATGTTCCCGAATGTTTCATTCCGTTTGGACTCCATTTGATATTCCGTTTCTTCGAAACACTGAAATAGGCAAAAAAACAGCAATTCTGGGCTGGGCCTCCGGTTAATAGGTTAGTCCCAAAAATAATATAAAAGTGGAAAATAAAGCCCAATATAGTCCAAAACAGTAGATAAAGTAGCATAGAGCAATCAAAAATTATAGATACGTTGGAGACGTATCAACCAACAACTGTTTTATCTGCATCGACTGGAGAGTTTCTGCGATGGTGATGGTGACCCTAATTTTTGTTGCAACCAAGCACCAAAAAGCTTCCATCCACAAGATTTTTTTGCTACCATGGGAAGCTGCTTCCTGATGTATGTTTCCTTGACGGAGCTACGACCCGCGACGATTGAGATGGTTATTTTGCTACAACCATCATCGTCTTTTGCTACGACCTACGAGGAAATTTGCTACATCCATTAATGGCGGAGGTGTGACGGGACAACGGCGACAACGTTTTTGCTGCAACCGTCGTTGTGTTTTGCTGCCACCGGCGAGGTTGTTTGCTACATCATTTAAACGACGTTGATGGGGTGGCCGTTGTTCGTGCAACCCCGGGCAGCGAGCATCGACGACAGTGAGAGTTGCGGCCGGCGGCACGGTGGTGGTGCAACGGACGTGATACGACGGCGGCGGCTAGGCGCTGGAACGATAGAGACGTTGTGCGTTTTGCTACAATGGTGACGGCGGCCTGCTGGAACCGGCAAGGACGGGCGCTGCGATGGTGACCACCGGCGACGAGGCGGCGACCGGCTACGGGGCAAGCGGGCGAGGACGTGAAAGGATCGAGAAGTGGTGTCTAGAGGGGGGGGTGAATAGACTCTAAGTAAGAAAAGGTGCAGTTTTTAATCTCTTTAAGTTGAAGTGGAGTTTGGCACAAGTTTTAACATTCACAATACATATCAAGCAAGCATGACAAGAGTATATGAGCAGCGGAAAGTAAAGCATGCAAATTGCAAGAATGTAAAGGGATGGGATTGGAGTGGTGCAAACGCAACTTGAAGACACAGAGATTTTTTATCCGTGGTTCCGATAGGTGGTGCTATCGTACATCCACGTTGTTTGAGACTTCAATTCACGAAGGGTAACGGTTGCGCGAGTCCACGGAGGGCTCCACCCACGAAGGGTCCACGAAGAAGCAACCTTGTCTATCCCACCATGACCGTCGCCCATGAAGGACTTGCCTCACTCGGGTAGATCTTCACGAAGTAGGCGATCTCCTTGCCCTTATAAACTCCTTGGTTCAACTCCACAATCTTGTCGGAGGCTCCCAAGTGACACCTAGCCAATCTAGGAGACACCACTCTCCAAGAGGTAACAAATGGTGTGTTGATGGTGAACTCCTTGCTCTTGTGCTTCAAATGATAGTCTCCCCAACACTCAACTCTCTCTCACAGGATTTGGATTTGGTGGAAAGAAGATTTGAGTGGAAAGTAACTTGGGGAAGGCTAGAGATCAAGATTTATGTGGTTGGAATGGAATATCTTGACCTTAACACAAGTGTAGGTGGTTCTCTCTCAGAAAATGTATGTTGGAAGTGTAGGCATGTTCTGATGGCTCTCTCCATGAATGAAGAGTGTGTGGAGGGGTATATATAGCCTCCATAGAAAATCTAACCGTTACACACAATTTACCAAACTCGGTGGGACCGAATCGTGAAACTCGGTCAGACCGATTTAGTTCATAATGTGACCGTTAGGCATTTCGGTGGGACCGATATGATCACCTCGGTAGGACCGATGCGCTAGGGTTAGGGTAAAGCCTCAACTCGTTTTGACCGATTACACAAACTCGGTGGGACCGATTTGGGTAATAAACGAAACAGAGAGTTGGCCAGGCAAACTCGGTGGGACCGATTGCATACCTCGGTGGGACTGAAATTATTGCAATAGGCAACAGAAAGTTTGCAAGCCCATCTCGGTGAGACCGAGATCCCATCGGTGAGACCGACTTGATTAGGGTTCTGGCAGTGGCTATGTCAAGAGAACTTGGTGGCGCCGGATAGAAAGAATCGGTAGGGCCGAGTTTGACTTTTGGTTTGGGACATATGTGGATGTGAGAAAGTGGTTGAGGGCTTTGGAGTACATCACTAAGCACTTAGAGCAAGCAAGCCATTAAGCAACACCTCATCCCCTCTTAATAGTATTGGCTTTCCTATGGACTCAATGTGATCTTGGATCACTAAAAGTAAAATGTAGAGTCTTGTGCTTTGAGCTTGAGCCAATCCTTTGTCCTTAGCATCTTGAAAGGGTTCCACATCCTCTAGTCCACGCCACTCCATTGTTGAACTTATCTGAAACATACTAGGTAAGAGTATTAGTCCAACAAGAGATATGTTGACATTAATTACCAAAATCACCCAGGGAGCACTTGTACTTTCAGGACGGCTGGCGAGCTGGCTGACGTCTGCGGAAGATCACGGACTGGACTTGACGACATGCGCCATGGTTGTTTCCTTCATTTTCTTAATGAATCAGTTGGGGGAAGGAAGGCCATCACACGCGTGTAATTAAACCATCCAAATCGTGTGTGCCCAGTGCGACTGGCTGAAATTTCGGCCGGCGCGCCGGCGCCTAGCACTCGCCTTTTTTTCTCCATTCAGTCGGTTTTTACCACCACATCATATTTGACCGCACCTTCCCCGTACGCCACTCAATCACATTAATTTACTCACTACCTTTTGCCGCACTGCATCAACTTCACCTTAATTAATTTACCTTTTGCAACGACGTGGAATTACGCCACTCAATTCCATGCCATTTTCAACCACGCCTTCCCCTCAATCAAATTAATTTATTACCATGCATGACCCAGTCACCCGGACTACCAAATTATAATGACGCCAAAATCAAAATGCTAATCCTAGCCATTATACATTAGAAAAATTCGGCCCCTGTGACAACGCACAGGCACATACCTAGTAACACCAAAAGAAAATGGGTAAGGAAAACAAAACAAACAGGGGACTTCAATTCTTTCATCATCAAAAACAACAACAATAAATAAACTCAATGCGGCCCAGACGAAGGTTAAAATGCTTGATCAACATACCCGCCAAAAAAAAAAACATACACGATCGACACCTCTTTGTTGGCTGCTTATCAGTGAGAAGTTGGAAGACGAAGAAGACCAACTATGCACGGAAGCTTGCGGGGGCATCACGGTTGAACGATATTCATCGGCAATGTTTAAGGGCGTTGTCTCGGGTGCTCAATTCATCAGCATCCATAGATCGACATCGACCAGAGAGGTACACAACCACGCTCAAACAACACTGATCTAGAACAATTGCCTCCGTCTCCAGAGGTTTGGTTTCCAGCTGCGTAGTGGTGATGGCTGATGAGCTTCAGAAGACACAGAAGGAAGTAGTGTCGCGGATGGATGATCAGGTGAGGCTTTTCGTTGCGCTCGAAGTGTAGATGACTTCAGAATTATCGCGAGATGATGCACTGGAACTAAAGGGAAAATAGCAGGACTCGAAATATTATAATAAATTAATAATTCCAAGAAACACAAAGTATATACAACATTTTCAGGTTCCTAGCTGTTTAACATACGAGTCAGACCTATCTGGAGTTCTGGACCACTCCAGAGTCATGCATATCTCAAACTTCTGCCACAGTTCAGCATATCTGGGCCATAAAACAAAAGCTAAAACCCAAACTTCGGCCCGTTTTGTCACGAGGGACAAAAGGAAATCCAACTGCTACTTAAATTCAATTCCTAAAACACAAACATTCTAGCATCGAACTTGTTTTCAACCAATCACGACGGTTGACTTAGGCCGTCGTTGGATAAAAACACACCTCCACATCAAACTGGCCGTACTTCAACATAGAGTCATCAGGGGAGCTAAGAACTCCGTCATTTCCACCCTCAAAAGTCCACTGGAAAACTGATTCCTCCACCTCTAACTGAACCTTCAATTCTCTCTCTGTCTTCGCAGCAACAACATGCTGGAAAACCTTCTTCCCGGTGAGCTTTCCATCGAAGAGAACAATCTCATTGTCATAGCCACTGCTGAAAGCGACGAATCTCACATGGCAAGGACTGCTAACCTCTGCAGAGACCTCGATCACTGCCTCAACACTCAGCGCAAGGCAGGCACAGTCTATTTCCAAGCTGACATTGTCCCCAGGGATAAAACCATATATGAACCCATCCTGTTCTGTGCGGACATCCAGCTCAAGGTATGCGGAAAGTAATTTTTGGTCGGCTGACCCATCCCCTTCCTTTTTTATCCAAAGATCAACTTCTAGCAATACTAGGTCATATGGTATGTACATTCCTCGACAAGGGCTACAGAGTGGCAAGGTAAACGGATCCTGCAATTTAACAACTTGTTTAGAACTCAACAGGCAAAATCCACTTTCAAGCAAGTAAATTGGTATATGCACCAACGGAATAAACTCAACAAAACATGCATGCTCATATTTACATATAAAAAGAGTTATATTTGAAATATATATTCCCATTTATTTCAAAAAGTAAATTGGTATATATGCACCAACGGCTTTGAAATATACTTGCGGGCAAAGATTCACACATATTTTTATTCCATTGCTTATGGTTTCCATTTGTGGGAATAGAAATCATAGGAGTTTATCCCATGGCCTATTTTGCATGCAATACTACTAGGAAAATTTCCATTGACCCTCATGAAAACTTCTTGTGTTTTTCATGTGGCGCAGCCAAACAGCTTGTATTGCAGATTCTTTGCTTTTGATTCATGTATGATTCAACATGCCATGACATATATCAATCCTATATATTTTTTTATTCCCGTGTTTTTAAAATCCTACGAACCAAATAGCATTGTTTATAAAGCGCCCCGCTTCAGAGGCTTAAGCGACAAGGCGCCCTGGCAGCGCCATAGAAATTTGCCTGCTTTAAGCGCTTAAGCGCTAGAGGGGGTGATGCTCGCTTTAGGTCGCTTTACCGCTTTATAAACCATGCCAAATAGGCTTTAAGACCCTTGAACATGATTGCTCCATTTTGAAAACAAACAAGCCTTGATTACCTGGTCAACCGTGACAGGGTCATCTCTGGAACGGTTGAAGACATGGTTCCGCAGTGGCTCCACCACATCCCGAACAGCGAACACTCCATATATACTGATGGGGCAGGAATAGGACACAGAGAAGCTTGATAAGCGCAAAAAGAATATCTGTAGCATCATTTCTGGTTCGGCGTATCCAAGATCTGAATCAGCTGCAGATGTTAAGAATAAGAGTAAGTTGGTAAGCAAAGTAGATGCATCGAGCAGATTAATACCACTACTAGCCTGGAATCAGCCTTACTGGTGGAAGTATCATGGGTCCTGTATTCAATGTGGTGGCAGCGACCCCTTTGGACGCATAAACCTGTTGCCTCAGGGAACACATCTAAAGGAGCAGGAGGGAGATCAGCACCCTCGTCCTGGCGCAGAATCTCCCGGCACCGCGCGTCGTATTTCTCGTTCTGTTCCACGATGCTCCTTATCCATGCCTTGTCGATTTTCCTCGCTAGCTGCAACGGGATGTTTCTCCCTGAAGAATTTTTGGAGCATCAATGGCAGTCAAATTAGCTGTACTATTACTGTTTCTATATACTCCCTCCGTTCCTAAATGTAAGTCTTTGTAGAGATTCCACTAGGTGGACTACATACGGAGTAAAATGAATGAATCCACACTTAAAATGCATCTATATACATCCGTATCTAGTTCATAGTGGAATCTCTACAAAGACTTATATTTAGAAACAGAGGGAGTAGGTAGTAGTGGGAAGAGAAAAAGAATCACCTGGGCAATTTGTCTCCACGCCTGCAAGCTTAGCGCATTCATAATCCTCCTGCACAACATAATCGTCGCTGTTCTCTGAGCGGATGTCATCCCACAGAAGTGGATCGCCCGTGAGCGGGCGGGCACCAAAGATGTCATATTCAGATTCATAGTGGCGGCTGACGGCACAATGATCTGCGAACATGTCCTCTAGATAGACGTCGTCACGCTCAGTTCCACACGCTTGTGATTCTGCACAACAAGTACTAGTAATTGGTACGTGATCTTGATTAGTTGGCGCAAATCGATCAAGTAGCATATAGAGCGAACTAGTTGGCGCAAATCGATCAAGTAGCAAATCTCACCGCCGTTCTTGACACAGGACTCCGTCTTCTCCTCCTCCCGCAGATCAGGGCCCATGTCTGACGGCAATCCCAAGTCGGACAGGTCCGCGCAGACGCTGTCGAGGTAAGCCCCCGCCGGGATTGGCGAGGCGGAGCCCCTCGGTTTCCACCGATCCAAGCAGGAGGTCCTCCGATGAGGTATTCGCCACGGCCACGCGAGGATTCTGTTGGCGGCGGCGTGTGGGGATCGGGTTCGGAGGACGTGGGGATTCAGTTCGTCATCGGAGCGTCTGAGCGTGAGACTGGTTTTTGCGAGAGGTCCTATACAGCGCTTTATGCGCCACCTGGCCAGCCGGCGCTCACCCGCCTCGTCTGTTGGGCTAGCCCATCAAGCACGAGCGACTGACTGCTCGATAGCTCAACTCGCTCGATGGTTGTTGTTTCGCTCGGTCGACCCTTTGGCTTTGACCACTCACCGTTGACTTCTCAAATATTGAATTTGAAGAAGTTCACGAATTCAAAAAAAATCGCACGTTAGAAAAAGTCCATGAAATTAAAAAAATAAGAATGAAAAAAGTTCACAAATTTGAAAGATGTTCACCGGGAACACAACAAGCGGTCATTATCTACATCAGCAAGACGAAAAACTGTTGCATACATAAGTTCACCAAAACATCAACCAAATTACCAGCAAATAGCTTCAAGCAAAAACATGATTCTGTTTGAAGGAAATAACACGTTTGGTTGGAAGCATACAAGCAAAGGTATGTTTGGTGAAATACCATGGAAAACATGTGTATGGTCAAAGCAAAAAAAAAACTAGCATTTAGAAGAAATTATAAAGTACTCCCTCCGTTCCTAAATATTTGTCTTTTTAGAGATTTCAAATGGACTACCACATACGGATGTATATAAACATACTTTAGAGTGTAGATTCACTCATTTTGCTCCGTATGTAGTTACTTGTTGAAATCTCTAGAAAGACAAATATTTAGGAACGGAGGGAGTAGTATGGGAGCATATAGAATTACATCAGAATGGAATCATGGACGGCTTAATTTTGTTAGGAAGCATGAGAGTATATAATGGAAACAACATGAACATATAGAATGAAATCATGGAAGCATAAACTTATATACATGCATACAACCATGGAGAGGAAGAGAGGATCTTCAACATAAAGTAAATATGCAAGCACTTCGTATCGTGACATCAACACGGAATATATACATTACTATTAGAATTAATTACTCAACCGCAACCTGAAAGGGCTATTGCAAAAAAGATATTCACACACGTCAGGACATGGATCCTTTGCAACATAAAATGAGAAATGTAGGAAGCGGGCTAATTTAAATTTGAAAGGCTATCTATGCTCTCGAAACAATAATACTAAATCAAGAAGCACAGTTGTAGTGTCAATGCATCGGTACATAAGAATTACACATATGAGACCTGGAAAGCATGGATGCCTTGAATCAATTTTTTTTGGGTATAACGACATATATGATACTTATTGGAAGCACAGAAATTTGAAAATGCAAAATAGCATGCTTGCACCAGAGATCTGGGTGCAAAAATTTGTGACACAAAACCCAATTTCATAAACCAAATTGGGACTTATGTGAACTTACATCAAACAAAAGTGTGCAAAGACATGAAATCAACATAGCTATCAATTTATATAACAATACACTGAAAACATGAGCAGATTTAAACTTCAATACTACAATATCAATTGCTATCTATCTGGATATGCACTCCAAAATTGCGAAAGAAACCTAAGCATAGAACAAGTTGAGGATACACCGTGGCTTGGTAGAGTAATGCATGCGTACTACGTGTGAGGTGACAAGCGAGCCACTGGTGCGGGGATGGGATGCGTAAGCGCATGATGCAATCTAATTTTAATTCAGATGGCTATCTATGCACATGAATTAATAATAGGAATAAATTGAGAAGCTATAGTGCCACAATATATTAGTACATAAGAAGCACATATATGTCACCTAGGAAGCACGGATGTTCTCAAGCAAAATTTTGTCGGTATCAAAGTGGAAGCTTAGAACATTGAAAATGGAAACAAACTGATTTTGCAACCAACATGAGTATGCATGTTTAGTGTCACCTATGTACACAACTGACAATATTATTTCTTTTTCCCAATGCAAGAAAACTTTCTACTCCACAGAAGCATATATTACAATTAAGAAGCAATGTGAGTATGAAGCATGAAAATGGTTCTGTGGAAACATAACTAGTGTCAGTTGGAAGCATGGGAATGCAATGGGACAAAAAGTAGTATCGCCGCCAACATGGTGATGCATATTTGTGTGATGTACGCACTGAATTCTCATAAACGGATTTATAGTTTAGTGATCTAATAGGCAGTGCACGGTAATAATCAAACCCAACGTACATATCAATCTATGTATCAAGACAAGGTGATTCAAAACCTAGGTCCAATGAAGATGGCGAGGGAGGCTTCGTTTCCAAAACGGGACTCTGAAGAAGATGTGAAGATGACTGGAGAAAAATCCTGACCACCACTGGTGCTATCGGCCGCCTAGTTATCCTTCACGAAGCCAGGTGAGACAAGCATTGCCCTAGTGATGGCAGGCACAAGCGCGACAGTTTAAACTCGAGTTGGAGCATCGGGGGAAGGGGGAACTAGAGGATGCATCGGATTATGGTGCGGGGCAGGGGATCCAAACCTGGTAGCTTCAACAGAGAGATCAGAGGGGGCGAGGAGGATTGCAAGCTGGACGGTATGGTGTGTCAGAAGCCGGCCACGAAGGGTGAGCTCAGCAGTGGCGGGGGTCGAACACTGGCTGAGGAGAATCAGCGCGGCTGCGGAGATGGGTCATCGTTGATGGCGTTGACAAGAAAGAGGAAGGGCGAGATTTGAGGATAGAGATGGAGATGGGCGAGTTAATTTTTTGCACAAATTTCCTTTGTAGCTCAAGCTACATGGAACCTCTTATCCTCAACCCTCCAGCCTTGCTTTGAGATCCGTACTCTCCAACTAACTTACAATAAGAAGATTTCTTTTTTTTTGTTTCTCTAAAATGAAACAACATATGAACTTCAAACTTTGCAGATCGAACAAACATTAGGACATCAATGTGTGAAAAAACTTTCAGATTTTTTGGTCTGATATAAATATACAAAATGAGATTTCGTTTGACTAAAAATATTATTTTAAGTATTTAAAATGCATGAAAAAATCTGATTTTTTCCCCATATTGTAGTTAGAATGTATTGTTGTTCTGCAAACTTTGAAGTTTATATGTTGTGTCGTTTGAGAGAAACAAAAAAGACAAATGCGTCTACATGGATCACGATGCAAAAATGGATGGCAAAGATAAGGGGTACCAAGTAGCCTGAGCTACAGAAAACCACACTCAATTTTTTGTAGATGGTAGGAGATCAATGTCAAGCAATTATTCTGACATTTGCTTTCTATCAACCGTACGATAATTTCCCAATATAATAATGCCAAACAACATCTTTATTTTTACCTAATAATAAAGAGAATTGGGTTTCTGCCGTACGTCGTTACGACAGTTTTGCAAAAAAGTCCCTATGGTTTTATATAATAAAACCCGCAGTCCCTATGAAAGTGGATCTAGCAAAACGATTCAACTTTGCAAAACAAACCCCGTACTCATTTGAATTCCACCCGCAGTCCAGACCCCTTGCGTCTTATCCAGACGCTCCGCTTCCTTTCTTGCCGCGGCGGAGCAGGAGAAGGTGAGGTGCGGGCGGAGCAGGAGAAGGTCAGGGGCGGCTCCGCGGAGCAGGAGATATCGAGGGGCGGCGCGGCGGGGCAGGAGAGATTGAGGGGCGGCGCAGCGGAGTAGGTGAAATAGAGGGGCGGGCATAGCTCGTACGCCACGGCGAGCGCCCTGTCGAGGCACGACGACCGCGGGACACAGAACGCCATGCTGGCCGTACCCAACGCCGGCGGGTGCGTGAGGGCCAGCCGGTCCGCCAGGCCCTGCACGAAGCACGATGCGAAGCGCAGGAACGCCGTGGCCGTGCACGGGCGGCGGAGCAGGTGAAATTGAGGGGCGAACACAGCTCGTACGCCACGGCGAGCGCCTCGCCGCGCGCCCCATCGAGGCACGACGACCGCGGGACGCAGAACGCCATGCTGGCCGTACCCAACGCTGGCGGGTGCGCCAGGGCCAGCCGGTCCGCCAGGCCCTGCACGAAGCACGATGCGAAGCGCCGGAACACCGTGCCGTGCACGGGCGCGCCGACCTGCAGCTCACGCAGCAGCGCAGCGGCCTGGGCGCAGTCGCGGAACGGTCCGATGGCGGCGCTGTCATTCATTGTCCTCACGAATGGAGGCGAGGAGGGTTGGCAGCGCTGATCGCAGGGGGCGCCGGCGGCTTGGGGACACGGATCCTGCAGATCTGAGCGGCGGCCGGCGAACTCGAAGGCGGCAGCAGCACGACCACGTCTGTGGTGGCGGCAGCGGTAAGGCTCCCCCTCTGAGAGGAGTTGAGGAAGAGGCCGGAGAAGGAGATGTGCGCTGCGGGAAGAGAATCAGGGAATGGGGAGATGTGTGGGGGATAGAGACGAGGATGATGCCAGGCTGAGGGACAGCGGTGCGTGGGGCCACACCACACGCGTCACCCGCAAGACGGCTGGTGGGAATCGTGGTCTACGACTGCTGGATTGTTCAGGAACGAGCTAGAATATAATTAAATCGCATGATTGTTTTCTTCTATGAATCACCTGTGGTTTGGTTTTATATATTTTTTCTTCTTCAAGTTGCGTTTGCATCTGTTTGTGTTTTTGACATATCCATACTGACTACAGGTCAGTGGTCAGTAACATGTGGCGAAAACATATATGCCTGGACACCCGATAAAATAAATACGTAAGTTATCTCTAAGCGCCGCCGAATCCGGTTTACACGAGTGCATCGTACGGCAGACCGCAGCTCATCCTGTGTGAATCATATATACAGGCGGCGGCGGAAGTGAGTACTGGAAAATGGGGAAAGATAAGGAAATGCCCTCACAACGACGCACAAGGGAGTACTATTTTTTTAGTAGAACACAA